GGGCGTTGGACTTTTGCGGCCGGGGTTTAAGGGCAAGACAGCGCGGTGGGTGCTTAAGCGCGGGTGCCAGGGACCAAATGGACAGCCTGGTTGTGCAGGGGGTGGGGGGGGGGGGAGGGGGGGGGGGGGGGGGGGGGCACTGACAGAAATGCTAATGTGTTGCTGGGCTGGACTGCAGGTCCGTCAGCTGGTGCTGGACCTTGTTGACATCCCAGCAGCTCCATGGGGGCCATGGTAAGAATAAATAATCCCCCCGCCTCCTCTGACAGCCTCCATCCACTCCATGATCCACTCTAATCCTAACTCTGCTATTCTAAACTTTTTTATGAATCACAAAGCCAGTACCAGTGAGACTGGTATTACCAGCAATGGAAGAAGTAGTAGAAATTGTAGTAAAAGCAGTAGATGAAGTAGTACTCAAAGCAGTAGTAGTACATGGAGAAGGTGAAGTAGTATAAACAGGTAAGATGGAGACGTTTCTAGATAAAAAGGTTAATTGACACTTTCTGAAAACGGGGCAAGACTGCACCCTAGTGGCCCTAATGTGAAGTGCAACCGTTTGCATACAGCCCAATAGGTGGACATTACTCTACTGAGTAGCAGCCACAGTGTAACTTTTTCCTAGGACTTAAAGGCATGCTGCCTCTACTCTGAATCTGATTGGTTAGTTGAACTCCCAGTTTTGAGTAAATTGAATCTGATTGGTTAGTTGAACTCCCAGAATTCCACGTTTTGAGTAAATTAAAAAAAAACAGAGCCCTAGAAGGACAGACCTGTTCTAACTGAAATATTTTGGAAATAGTAGAACATTGATTCAATCAGCTAGGCCACACCCCTAAGAAGAGAGGAACAGTGGGGGAACGTGAGGGATGTATGTTATCATACATAAACGTAGTAATTAGACGTCATATGAATGGGGTATGAAAACATCGATATTAGCTGCTGTGATGGAAAACAGTTACTGTACAACATCACAACAGTTATATGTTAAATCTTTGTTTTTTTACACTGAATATTGTGCATAAACTGTACTATGTCCGAACAGTAGAAAAAGTGGAAAAGTTAAAAATGGATTAACGTACATTGTGAAGTACTACAAGTAAATGAATGAGTAGTAGAGCAAAACATTTAAAGAAAAATATTGTAGTACATGTTGTAAAATAAGTTGAAGTACAGAAAATTGGGTAAAAGACAGGTGAGTGAAGAAAATGAACATTGGAACTGTCACTTTTAATGCCATAAACGAGTTTATTTGTTTGTTTGTTTTTGATGTGTTTCAGCTGCTGTGGTTACGTTACGGCTCGTAAAGTGTCAAAAATTAACACGTTAGCATAGTTGACGTATGAATTTTAATAGCACAGTTAACATTACGGTCAGATTCAGGGAAATCGTGATGAACCAGTGTGAGATTAGCGCTCACTTAGCCAGTTAGCAGCTGCCCGTTCTTACCTGGCCGCAGCAACATTAGCCTCGTCTGCTAAGCACAGCTACACGAAGGACTCAACGGAGGTATGTGGAAGAGGAGGGGGAGGAGCAGGAGCAGAGAGCCGTTCCTGCCCCGGCTCCTGCCGCGGAACAACCCCATCATTGTTCCCTTCGTGTCGTCGTTAAGTCGTGGACTTCTCAGTGAGGACACACGGCACTTTCCACAGGTATTTACATAATTTTGGGTTTAACGTTGTAGGAGCAGGAGCAGAGAGCCGTTCCTGCCCCGGCTCCTGCCGCGGAACAACCCCATCATTGTTCCCTTCGTGTCGTCGTTAAGTCGTGGACTTCTCAGTGAGGACACACGGCACTTTCCACAGGTATTTACATTATTTTGGGTTTAACGTTGTTGTAACAGTCGTTCGTAACTGAAATGTCGTGTTGGAAAGTCGTGAGTCATCAGTCCGAGCGGCCAGGATACTGACAGCGTCCATCGGTTCCGGGTGTTAATTCAGTGTAACGTCATTCACTACTCGGCTGAGTTTTAGTTTAACTAACGTTTGTTTCACTTGTTGGCATGAAATAGCAAATTTTCCATCATTATGTATTTACACACATAAGTCGAAGGGAAACGAACAAACAAAAATAAAAAAACTTTTTAGTGATGTGTTGGTAGTTTATAGCTAAACTGTTCGCAGTGCTGCTGACAGTGATTTTTCTAATAATTATCTTCCTGCTGTTTTTTCCCCATCAAATAAGTCTGTTTTGCCATTTCAGTTGAGTTGTTTTCGAATGTAAACTTATTACACTGCACCACGTGCGACACATTAGGGACATAATACTGTAAAAAGACATCAAATAATTTTATTCCATAAAATAGTTCCACTGAACATTGTGCAGGTCTGTGGAAAAATTCGAAATAGGAAGTCAACTTTCACTTCGTCTGTGTTGATACTCCTGTCAGACCTGCACTGTGTTGACGTCATCATACCAAGAATACAGATATGTACGTGTCCCCCTCCATTATACTCCACACTTCAAGTGTAAACAATTGAACTTCCACTACATAGAGGCAAAGAGTGATTTAATTATAGTAATTTAACATTTAAATTTTTTTAACCACAGATGAATAAATTCAACATTGTCCCTTCTGGAGGCAGGGGTCACCAACGTGGTGCCATGGGGTACATTCTAAAAACAAAACTAGTCAACAAGAGGGTCAAAAATGTCATTGTTACTGTTACTTTTTGAATCGGTTAAATTAAGTAGTTATATTCAAATGGGTGCAGTGATGATGGTAAGAGGAGTAGCTCTTGTTTCAAAAGGTTCGTGACACCTTCCCCTAAGGGTTTCTTCTAAGCTACGGTCGTGATTGTGCAGCTTCAAGGAAATAAAGCCATTCCTATATTTTAGTTTCTTGATTTCTACGAACTCTGCCCTGCCTTTCTCCACATAGAACCAGACTCTTCTGCTACAAGTTATTTGGTAAAATAGTTTGTCAGCTTAGAATAGAGCAGGAACAAAAGGAAATGCTTAGAATGTAAGTGGAACATCAAGCCCTGCAAGATTTAATGGGTGTGGCACTTAGGGCCAAAGCAGTCCTTCTACTAGGCTTTACAGTACAAACAGTACGACATATGACAGGTGCAGTACACATACACTCTGTACTTAATAACAAGTTGCTCTTTCAGGACATAACAGAGATCATGTGAACAACTTAAAAATACTTAAAAATAAACATCAAACCTGTACTCGTACCTCAGGAAGTTTTCTTCTTAAGGACCTGAGAGTGAAGACTTTTCTGAAAGAGTCTTATTAATATATGAGTGTTCACTCATGTTTTAACATGATCACATGAGAGCTGTTCATTACTTGTATACCTGTATTACTGGTATACTCAGATTTCATATTCCTGTTTGGTTTAATGATGCAGGTTTGATCACCTGGTCCATCATGTCATATCGCATTTTTTGATAATTTTATTAATGAACCTGGCGTTGACTCAGCACTTTAAACAATTATTGCCATTGTGTATTAAGTTGCATCGGTGCCCTCTAGTGGCTGTCAGTGTGAAAATAACAAAAATGTATATTTTCAGTGGTACAGGAGTAGCAGATACTGGTACACATGTCTAGAGTGCCCTCTAGCGGCTGTCAGTGTGAAAATAACAAACGTGAAATGATGTATTTTAATATATAAGTCGCACATGAGTATCAGTCCCAAACCCAGCCAAAGGACGAAAAAAGTGCAACCGGAAAATATGGTAACTCCCACTCTGTTGTTCCCAGGTCTCCTAAGGATCTACCCCAGCCTCTAGTGAAGACAGAGTAGATCTTTGGATGCAGTTTTTTTATTGGCTTCTGTACTTTGGGCTGTTGCCAAAAGCCTCTGTTGGCGAAGACAGGGACCAAAAGGTCAAAAATGACAACAAGCTGGTTCTCAACAAGCTATTGGCCAAGGACCACACCTGGGTGGCCAGTAACTGCAAGCACCTGGTGGGTCTCCTGCGTCAGAAGAATGTGGTCATTAAGAAGTTGGCCATAGCTGCAAATGCAGTCGGAAAAGACGAGACTCTTTCTGAACCGGAGAGACATTTCCAGGTATGATCGGTGTTTGACAGTGACCGAAACTGATGACCATATGTGTGTTTTGAAATTTTTGAGTTCTTTTTCTTTCTGTTCTTAGGTCCACACATTGGAGGTGTTCCAGAAAGAGCTAAATGAGAGTGAGCACCTGGTTTTTCAGGCGATGCACAGCCTGCATAGGGCGCTACAGGGGGACTATAGGGATGTGGTGAACATGAAGGAGAGCAGCAGGCAGCGGCTGGAGGCCCTCAGGGAGGCGGCCATAAAGGTTATTGGTCAGCAGTGTTTAATCTAGGCGGTCGCAAACAGGGCAGGGAACCCAGGCAATGCCTAGGGCAGGGGTTTTCAAACTGGGGAACCCCTCCCCCCCCCACCCCCGAGCAGTTATGAGTTTCAACAATTGATAGAATGTATTTGAAATCATTTTACTTTCACAACTTCACACCATAAACAATTACTGTTTTCCGGACTATAAGTTGCTCTGGAGTATAAGTTGCAAACCCAGCAAAAGGATGAGAAAGGTGCGACTTATATCCTGGAAAATGTGGTGTTTGCAAGAGCAAATAATTTCACTTAATGCATGCAAATTCATGCAGGTCTCCCCTGTGACTCTTTGGTCACAGAGAAGGTGCACCAGGGGAGGCAGGTCTCACCTTTTGAGAACAGCTGCCCTAGGGTCCCCAGCTGGAAGAGGCCCTGTTAGACGGCTGACATTGGTCCATTTATCAATGACAAAATGCAACCCTGCACCTCTTGCCCAGGGCCCCCAGGGTGTCTATTAATGTCCCTGTGTTTAATGGTTACAGTGTGTTTTATCTGAAGAATAAAACACAGTATTTAATACTACGTTCAAATAGTAAATGCTACTTTATTAGGAAATATATGGCTTGACATTGACATTTTTTATTTTCAAGTTTTGTTATCATGTCTATCGTGTGACTATTCTGTCTGTTGACACTCCTCAGGAGGAGCAGGAGTACATGGAGCTGGTGGCTGCGGAGAAGCACCAGCAGGAGGCAGCTAAGAGCGCTCTGGCCCAGAACACGAGTCTGTCTGTGGTGGACGAAATCCTGGAGGAGATCAGGAAAGCCGCCGACCGACTGGAGGAGGCGATCGAGGAGCATGTCTTTGACAACAACAGAGAGGTCAGCCAATCACAGCTGAACCCATAGTCTCTCTGTATTATGACTCTTGTCGTTAGACTACCTAAGTCTCACCAGCCACAAAATGCATCATGAAGAAGAAAAAAGCATATATCGGTATAAGTCGCATTTTCTTATTTTTGCCCTGGTTCTGTCCACCCGTCTTCTTAAAAATCATTCATGACCTTGACCTTGTCGACCTCTGGTTAAGATGGAGGGAGTGAATGTAGAAGCAGTGCTGAGGGTGGAGGACGACGACGAGGGCACAGGGAAGAGGGGCAACAAGTCCGGGGTGAAGGAAGTGGAGGACGATCTGGGACTGAGCATGCTGATCGACTCACAGAACAACCAGTATGTTCTGGCCAAACCCAGAGACTCCACCATGCCCAGAGTGGACCCCCACCTCATCAAGGTCAGCATCCTGATTCAAAACTGGTGAAAGTTTTTGTAAAGAAACTGAATTGTAAAGCCCTGTGTTTTTGCAGGACTTGGTGTCAGTGGTGATGATGTCACTTCCCTGTGGATGGATCTGTACTCTACTCAGTCTTCCACCAATGCTGGGCTACATCATCTGCGGAGTCCTGCTCGGTCCTTCTGGTCTGAACACCATTAAGGTTAGTGTGTGTGCCTGCGTCCTTGGGTCTAATCCTGGGTTGGAGCCCATTTTGGGTCATGGGCTACAAAGAGTTTTAAAACATGAGGTTAACAATACTCTATGTGGCCCATATATGTAGCCAACTTGAAGTACTTCCTAGTGTTCGATTTACCATGGTTCTGTTGATGCAGCTTTTGTTTCAGTATCAGAATAATACACATGCTGTGTAAAGTGGTTCTCTCTGTATCTGTGTTTCAGTCTATGGTTCAGGTGGAGACTTTGGGGGAGCTGGGCGTGTTCTTCACTCTTTTCGTTGTTGGATTGGAGTTCTCACCAGATCGAATTCGAAAGGTAAGCTACTTGAAGCTAGAACTTGAAGTGATTTCTTATTTATTTTTATTTATTGTTTACACTAGATGCTTTTCTTGATATATAAAGCATATATATGTGATATATATGCATATTTATGTATATAAGTGCAAGTATATATGTATGTATACATATATGTATATAAACAGCATATATATATACAGTATATATATATACACATTCATATATGTGTATATGTATATATATTTACATATATATGTATGTATACATATAACCCAATACATATACATATGTATTGGGTTCTTTACTCTTCAAAGCATCTTGTGTAAAAAAAAAAAACATCACTTTGCAAACTATTGTGTTGGTGACCTCTGGAAGTTGAAGTTTTATTTTATATTATTTCGAATTTCAAAATTTCAAACTATTTTATATTGTGTGTGTGTGTGTGTTTGTGTGTAGATATGGAAGACATCAGTCCAGGGATCTTGTTACCTGACTCTGCTCATGGTCGGAGCTGGTCTGTTGTGGGGACAGGTGTTGAGTATTCGTCCCACCCAGACCGTCTTCATCTCCACCTGTCTGTCCCTGTCCAGCACTCCACTCGTGTCCCGCTTTGTAGCCGGCAGTAGCAGAGGGGAGAGGGAAGGTATGTTACTGATGCAGTGGTCGAGAACATGAGCGTACACCAAGTACTACTACTAGTACTAATCAACAATACTACAGTACAACAATCAAAACAACCTGTCTTTTGTCTCTGTTTGTACGTGTGTGTGTGACAGGTGAGTTAGACTACAGTATTGTTCTTCTTGGGATGCTGGTGATGCAGGACGTTCAGCTCAGCCTCTTCATTGCTGCTATGCCGACTCTGATCCTGGCCCAGAGTGGAGACTCCGACAGGTGAGTGTGACGCCTGTTGTACGACTGTGTCCTTCAGTGAGACACCGTAGTTACACTGGGTTTTTTTTAAATTTTAAATCCCTCCTGTGACATACCTGATACCCAACCCTCAAGGAAAAAACCTGACATAGTCAAAAAGTCAGTTGTGTAAGTCAGCTGTATTATACAGTATGTCAGTAACTGGATCATGTACACACAGAGTACTATAGTAAACAAACCTAATATTTAAAAACACACGCAAAAAGCAATTTTTAAAAAAAGGACCAAATATTAAAATATATGTTCAGTAATAATATTATTTGTTATTCAGGTAATAAAAAAAATCTAATAATAATAAGTTCGTGACATCTGTGACAGTTATTTGTGCCCCCCCCCAACCTGGTTTTCAGTTTTGAGGAGAAGACTGATGGGTAATGTAGCATTCAATCAAATGTGAGCCATTCTTCCCATGATCTGAGGGTTGGGCCTCCGTTTAAAGCACAAGGACTATAAGCTAGCTGTTAGCTTCAGGTTTGAGCTAACATGTGCTTTATGTAGCATTGCTCATGAACAGTCAAACAACAGCTGTTCATACTTCTAAATACATCTTGTTTGGGACTAATATCTCATCAAATATTAAATTCATTTCAGATGGATCATCAGAACGGTGATGAGAAGCAATGAATCTGACGATTGGCAGCAAAATGAGTGAGAGAAATTCACAGACTGAGCATTTCATTAGAAGAAGTTTGGGATTTTTAAAGCAACGCTACAGCAGCAAGAGTTTCCTCCAAAAAAAAAAAAACCTCCACCTGGAGCTCCATTTAGGACGGCGTCAAAAACAAGACTCTGAGGGGACGTAATCTTCCCACACAGTCTGTAAACAACACTGGTTGAACACAGAGTTGTCAATGGTTGGATAAACTTGTGCAGTCAGAGACAGGGTTACCTCCACAGACCATGTTGATGACATGTGTCTGTTCTGCTCCTCAGCTTCCTGTTTGGGAGTCTGCGTGTGCTGTTCCTCCTGGTCCAGATCCTGGTTTCTCTGGCTGCGGTGATGTTGCTGTGTTTGCTGCTGAAATCCTCTGTGATTGGACCGCTCTACAGAAAACTGCACACCGAGAGCAAGGGCAACAAGGAGATACTGGTGCTGGGGACCACTGCTTTTGTCTTCTTCATGCTAACGGTTGGTTCTGCTGCAGGAACGTGACATGAATCTGCCACAAATGATGTGTGTGATGTGTGTCAATTATTTACCTTCTGCGCGGCTCCACAGGTGACGGACTTTCTGTACGTTTCTATGGAGCTGGGCTGTTTCCTGGCCGGGGCTCTGCTGTCCACACAGGGACACACCAACACCGCAGAGGTCATGGGGTGCATCGAGCCAATCAGGGACTTCCTGGCCATCATCTTCTTTGCCTCTATTGGTCAGACCCAGCTGTGTCCTGGTGGTAGATTCTTGTTGTGTTTTTACACAAAGACTCAACGACGTTTCTGTGTTTACGACAGGTTTCCACGTGTTCCCGTCGTTCGTGTTGTATGAACTTTCCATCCTGGTGGCGCTGACGCTCACCCTCGTAATTATGAAGGTAATGTACCGTGGACCAGATTCTGACCCCGTCTGTTTCCAGTTCTAAAGTTTGAATCGCTCTCCTCCTCCTGTGTCTCATCCTCATCCAATCATTTTCTCCGTTCTTCTTCATCCAGTTTTTCATGGCTGCCCTGGTGCTGACCTTCATCCTGCCTCGGGGGTCTCGACACATACGGTGGGTTGTATCAGCTGGTCTGGCTCAGGTCAGCGAGTTCTCATTTGTCCTGGGCAGCCGTGCACGTCGAGCGGGGATCCTTTCTAGAGAGGTCAGTGTTGATAAACACCCCCCCCCCCCTCCACACACACACACACACACAGTTACCTTCACTGAAAATAGTGAAAAGTGAGTTTGGAACTCTTTAGCTCACTGTAAAGTGCTTCCAGGCTAATGACACGTTAGCTTCAGCTTGTCAGTAGGAGCTCCCTCTGCTGGTCTAACCACAAAATAAAACACAAAAGTGTAGTATTAAGTTTGATATAAAGTTTTTCTTGAGTGTCCTCTCCTCCGTCCCGGCCTCTCCTCAGGTCTACCTGCTGGTTCTCAGTGTCACCACCCTCAGTTTGCTGCTGGCTCCGTTTCTGTGGAGAGCGACGAGACACAGACTGTTTCCACGGTGACGGTCCAACGCCCAGGTGTTAGCTGTTATACAGCTGTCAGCAACATCCGGAGCAGCTCACAGTAACTCCGGTCCAGTCCGATGTCTGCAGGACGTCTCCTCTGGTCCTCTCCTAGTTCTTCTGTATTTAACCAGATTCTGTGTTTCAGGGAGGTTAGAATTGTTAGCTGTTCTGTAGCTTGAGGTTCTGGAGAAATGCCTTCACTGCTGTAGATCCTGGACACAGAGGTCGTCTTTAGACCTGAGGTCACTGAACAACAGAATGAAGTCCTGACCTTGGAGTTCCTGAAGATCATGAGTTGTTGTTTTTCCACATTTTTATTTAATAACTTATTCAGAATGTCTTACTGTTGTGGTAGTAGAGGTCTGTAAAAGAGCTTTAGGGAAAAACAAAGACAGAATGTAGGCAACATTAACGGGGAAAATTAAATTCACATTTCAGCTTTCTATTGACTAAGTCATGAGAGTCTTATTTTAATGGTGTTTTTCTATTCTCCATTATTCATTCAGGAGTGTTTTATGACTTCACGATACACGCACTGTTTGGTATTCTATTGTTAATTTAGGTTTACTTCACAATTGTAATGGTATTAAAACTGAACTTGAATTTCAACTCAACTAAATGAAGACATGAAGTGTGTGTTAGTGAACAGAGAGAGAGAGAGAGAGAGAGAGACATGAAGTTTGTTAAGCACGTGTTTTGTTGGCTGTTGTTTTTTTTTTTTCATTTGTGACTAATGTTTACATGAGTGTGTAGTTGTGTTGACTGTTTGGATTAAATATGTCCCTGTCATGGTTTAAATCATTAATAAGTTGTTGTTCTTCTTGTAGACACTGACCTGAAGCAATCGAAATTTAAACCCAGTCTAAGTTGTGGTCCAAAACAGGCAGAACATAAAAAAAATACAATAATCAAAATATTAACATCACATTCAATAGGAATATTGTTACACAAAGTAGGAAAAGTCAACAACTCCAAGTAATTAAACATAATTTCAAAACTGTATTAGTCAAGTACTGCAGTTGATACAAGTGATACTGCTTTAAGTAATTACAATTATTATTATTCAATAGTCAGCTAAAATAAAAACGTTTCTTACCTTCAGAATAATTGCAGGTCAGTGTCCATGTCCATTGATTAGTCCACTCCTGGGTCAAGTCCCTCTCAGACACCAGTTAAACTAACTGGGCTGTTCAGCTGGTAGAACTGTTCGTCTGTGGGTTTTATTTTCTTTAGTAGAAAATCCTACCAGGTGACTGCATCTGTCTGTGACTCTGTCCGGACACTAGATGGAGACAAACGGATGATTCTTGCTGATACAACGCTACAGTAAACTGACTCAATTCAATTTTGATTTAGCTCCACCAGGGCTAATGTTAACCACAGGTGTATGGTCGCTGCCCTCAGGTTCTAAGAACTGAGCTGTTGTTGCAGACGACAACCAAACAACACACACACACGTGTGGACTTCGAAAAATTTCAAAACATTTCCCTCCTCTGTTAATCTAAACTATTATCTACACAATGAATAAATAAGTAACTAATTTAGTTAATAAAAGTTAATATATTAATTAAATATTGTCATTTTCTTTAAAGAAATTTCTCCTAGTCTTAGCCACATGGGGGCGCTGTAAACATAAAGTCCATCTCTGTTTTTCTCTAGCTCTCACTCTCCCTCCCCTCTCTTTCTCTCTCACCTCCTCACCCTCTGTCTTTCTCTCTGTCCCTCTCTCACTCTCTCTCAGGACCAAGACAGAAAAGTTGTGTCTGTGTGAGCTCTCACTTTGCTCTGGGCCAACTAAAACCATCAAACTAAATTTAAATACCAACTATTCCATTATTCAGCCACATTATGTCAGTACTGCAGCCAGTGGTTCTTCGAGGAGGATGAAAACTATCTTCTGAAAAGTACTGACCGAGGACCAGTGATCCCGATCCAAGTCGTTCTGCTGCAGGAGCAGGAGCTTTTTTTCACTTTTTTTTTTTTTAAATTTTTAAACAACAATAACAAGCCGTTTTTTTCAAGTTGGATTAAAGTGGAGTGAATGGAAATGCAGCAGCCTGAGAGTCAGCCGACCAGTCCACCAGCAGGGACACAGATACTGGATCCAGCAGGTACTGTTTCAAGCTGAGCGCTGATAAAACCATCACCCATCTGCCTGATGACTAGAGCAGCAACATGTTAGGACAGTCCCATGAGTCCAGTCTGTAGTCTTTATAGGTTTGATGTTGGATGCTGCAAAGCATTCTGGTCCAAAACAAATAATAATTTATAATAAAATAATAATGTATGAGGTCATTTGTCATTGTTTTTTAAAAAAAGTTCATCTACCAGATCAATGGTTTTTTTAAGTACTATTGTGTTTCTTTTACCATACATTTTTAAAAAAGTATCAAATTAAAAATTGTGAATGGGATGTTTTAATAGAAATAAGAATTCAAATTAAATTTAAATAATTATTTAATATAAACACAATATTTCTCCCCCGATTCCCCAAGAAGAAATATCATTGTGTTTATATGTCTGTCCCACAGAATCAACACATGGAGGATTAGGTTAATTGTTCACCATAATTGACCCCAGGGTCAACTTCCAGTGACTGTAAAAAAAAACAACCAAAAAACCAACCAAATGTTAATGTCATCAATACTTGAGCTTTTTTAAGGCATGGGATTGAAGTATAAATAACGTGGTAGTACTGTAGTACCTTAAGTGTGAAGAGCTCTTGATCCGACCAAACCTCTGGTTTGTCTTCAGATCAGTACCAGCGTCGAAGGAGGACGGCTCTGTGGATGACCGTGGCTCTGTTGGTCCTGGCTCTGGTGGTGCTCACAGTAGGTCTGGTCTCTGCCACCCGCACTGACAATGTGCCAGTCTCTGGATATTACCCTGGTATCTCTGTAAGTGACCCCTCCTTGACCCCCCAATACTCCTTCAGTAAAGAAATATTTTCAGTGATGGTAAAAGAGTCTCTGCTTCTCTGTGCCTCCAGCTTAGCTGCGGGGCTTTCCTGGGCATCATTGGCATCCACCTGGTGGAGAACCGCAGACCTATGGTACGTCTTTAACGTGTTTGAATGATTTTTTATTGGCACTGCATTATAATAAAGTGTATTTTAATTGGATCTCTACATATCAGTACACTCTTCATATGTCGTTACATTCAAAGGTTCTGAACCCCCTGTCAACTAGTCTATGTCCTGTACCAGGACTGTTGTAGCTAACGTTAGCTCTGGTGTCTGTACCAGGACTGTTGTAGCTAACGTTAGCTCTGGTGTCTGTACCAGGACTGTTGTAGCTAACGTTAGCTCTGGTCTTTATACCAGGACTTACATAAACTGTAAGATGACTCACAGTTCGTTCTCGTTCATTGAACAGAACAGATCTACAGCTTGTCCGATAACCTCTGTTAGCTCTTTTACTTCTTAGCTTGTGGAGTCTTTTCGTACTCATGTGTCAGTCAGCACAGTCATTCTTGAAGGTGTCTTTTTCAAGGACCTATTTCTTTTTTCAGTTTAAGTTACTTTAACACTGGGAAGTGAGAAAGGTTTCCTGGACACCAGGGCATATATACATCATAAAGTCTAGAATTGTGTCACTGACTTTGTAAATGTATTGACGTGGGAACTGAGCTGCAGACAAATCTGATTAAGACAGCGGAATTGTGTATTTTTGGTTCTCACCTCAAGGTCTGTGTGGGTCAGAGAGGCAAATATGATTGGCTCTGGATTTCTGTGACAGGACAACGAAACTGCATTAGTATTGGTCATGTGACGACAGCGCCCCATAGTTTTAGACACAAACACAGATAGAATGTCACACAATTGCATTTATGTTCTACACAATGTTGAAAATATAATCACTCAGGAGCGGAGCCGCTCTCCTGGTTTGATGAAGACTGTTCCTGTAGAACTCATCGATTGGTTTTTCAGTCAGCTGTAGTTAGGAAGAACAAAAACAAAAGAACCACAGACACAGAAAGTGAGTTTTTTCTTTCCAACAGTATCATGTCCAGAACAAACCTAAGACACAAAAATCTAAAAATCTAAATCTAAAATACATTTCATTATTTTAGTATTTTACTCATTTTATTTTTAAGACATTTAGGTGTAGTTGGTTTCCTCAACCCGTGAAAAAGTGCTGCTGTGTAACGGTAGCTCCGTTCCACTGCCTAGTTCTCGTCTCCTTGACGGTGTGTGAGTTGTTAATTTTTCATGTGTCCCTGAGGATACTGTGTCCCAGTTGGTCATTCACCCTTTATCTTCTTACCATAGACAATCTCATGCAGTGTAGAAGTAGATTAAATTACTAATCTAGTCATAATACAGCTGCACTGACTAGAAGCTCAACGGATGCACCGCTGTTTTTAGGCATGATGACATGATGAATTTGTGAAAGTGAAAACAATGCAAAAACATTACATGTTGGTGATGTTATATTAAATTATAGTTCATAAAATATGAATATTTTCTAATGTTCTTGTACTTATTTACACTTCATCTAATCGTCATCTAATCTGGGCCCCTGAACCAAAGTTTGACACCCTTGAATTAATAGACGTAAAATCAACGAGCTTTACCACAGACACCTGGGTCTCTTTAATTCCTTTTTTTCTTTTAATTAAGAAAGTTAATCTACCGCTTTCATCTCCATACTGCAGCTGATTTATTTTCTATTAAATTGTATTTCCTATTTTTATTTGTTTACAGGGACGTTTGATTCCTGATTATTTTAAATGCTGGTGTTTGTGCCTATTGGTGCATATTTACTATAATCTTTACCATTTATTTTAAATAAAAATAAATAACCATTTTTGTAACAAATCTATAATTTCTTTCAATGTGTTATTTCATAATATTTTGTTTGATTGAATATTTAATCATGGTTGAGGTAGAGAGACTATTAATCCAACAAATGTACTGAATCGGTACCAATCAGCAGATATTCCGAGCTCAGGTAACAATATCAGTATCTCGGCTGAAAACGTTGATTCAGTGCATAACTAACTGATACTTCCTGTTCTATGGAGTATAAACCTGATGTGGGTATTTGTGTAAATACTTTTAATCTAATTCCATCTCTGTTGACAACCAATCAGAAAGGCTACAAAAACAGATACGTTTTTCTTCCATGTTTACACTGTTCCTTTAAGAACCTCTCTACCCCGATGATACACCGATTTGTATCCCGCGTGTGTTAAACATTCATGCCGTGATCATGGCTACACCGCTGCATGTCTGCAGTGTTGCTCCTAATGCAAGGTGCGCTAGGTGACGTTAGCGCTGACACAGGTGTCTTCTTCTTCTGCTTCTTGGAATGCAACTGTAACATGAGCGTCGGCCCACAGAGCAAGGTTACTCATTAAAGAACAACTAAGTCTCACAAAGGCAATGACATATGAGAGCTGTGGCGCTGCTCCCTCTGTTTTGGTTTCACAAGGAGAGGATCGGATATGGTTATAAAACCGATTCCTGGACATTTACAGGAAAAGCCACCCGTTTCAATCTGGCGAACAATTAGCAGCGGAATCGCGACCCAAATGCAAAGCTTCATAAAAGAGATAACTGTAGAGTACAATACAGGTAAACTGAGGCGATGACTGTAGAGTACACAGACTAAACACTGTGATGGGAATTACTGTCAGGTCTGTTGTCACTCTCACCTGTGGTCACACCTCGTCTCCTGTGTGTACACACACACATATACATATGTATATGTAAGACTAGTATGTTCTAGTCTTAGTTCTGTGGTTCCTCTGTGGTGGCGCTTTGTCTCTGTCATTGGTGTGGAACCCCAGGGTTCACCTCCTGGGTAAGATTGAATCCTGGTTAGGGAGGTTGGTACCTTCCAGTGGACTCACCACCTGCAGGAAGGTTCACGGGGGGCTGGTACGGTGCAGTGTGATTTGAGTGGCGGGCATAGAGACTGGTGCCCCCCCGGCCCAGTAACGGATAAGCAGATGAAAATGGATGGATGGATGGATGAATGGATGGATGGATGGGATGTTTCCTCTGTGTTCCTTGTGTTCCAGGACCTGCCTTGACTTAGTTTTTGTTCTGTATTTCCCACCTTGACCTGTTGGGTATTCCTGACTTCCTGGTCTTGTTGTTTCATGGCTGAGTTGGACACTGTACGTGGGCCCCAGTGGTGAGAGGTTTTACTTAGTCGGGTTGACTCCCTTAGAGGGAAACCAGGACAAACACACCTGACACCAGCTAAACCTGACCCCAATATACCTCACCAAAATGAGAAGAAAAAAATAGACTTCACAGTTACCAGACTCCACCCACAGCTAAATCTCATTCCCAATTTTTCATGTTTTGGGCTGAAAAGGAAACCAGAGAACCCGGAAAAACCTCACACAAAAATGATCCAAATCATCCAAACTCCACAGAGACCATCTTGTTACAGTACCTAGGGGATTCAAACTCATGGTCTTTTTCCCGTAAACCACACACTAACCTTCCACTACTACACAGAAATGTGCCCCCAGCACACACACCACTCACCAGACTTGGTCTACGATATCACTCACAAACTCCGGAACGACAGACACCGAAAATGTTTGGTTCAGGTGCCGCATACAGCTAGATTATCAAGCTGGCCGTATTGAACCCCTGGGTGGACCAGTTTTGGCCCTCGGGGCATATGTTTGTCACCCCTGGTCTGGACTGTACAGTAACAACAGTGATCCAGTTCTAACCCAAAGAAGAAGAAGCTGAAATCAAAAGGGTCTTCAGCATAAAAAATCAGCATAAAACAGCTACACCTAGTGGCAGAGACATTATCACTACCTGCCTGTAAACTCATTGTGCTTGAGATGCTTGATCCTGGAGCTCTTACAGATATGGTCCAAGTCCCTCTGTTAGACAATACAAATGTAAGAAAGGACTGACTTCATTGTCTTGAAATACCTGGAAACGACTTCATGACTCCTTGAACATCAGCTTCCTCTAGCTGTGGTTTTTCACTCTTTCATCATTGCCACTTCTTCAGGTCACCTTGCTGTTCAGACAGCAGAACATTGAACCTGTAAAAAGCTGTATTTCACCCAACAGGTCATGGGATGATAAGTTCTTATTACCCTCTGTCCAGTTGTCGTAACAGCTCAGTGGACCACTCAGTTGGAGAAGAGAAGACCTTGTTCTCAGCAACTTTAGTTACGTAACCTCTGTGGTACCTGCAGACAGGACTTCTAATTATTGATAAACTTCTGCTTTCTCCACCTTTTTAAGTAATAAATCACTAAGTTTTTTGTGATTTTTGCAAAGCCCTTCTACAAATGATCCCCTCTGCATTAATAATAATAAATAATTTGATTTTCATTGAACCCGCATTTTGAGAAATTCTTATGTTAACATCTGCTGCAACAGGCTGCCCCTGGGAGCCGCCAAGTATGTGGTTCCTCTGGGAATCAAACCCAGGACTCTCTGCTTGTGAGGCAGGCGTGTCAACCACTATACCAGTGGAACCATAACTGAGAAAGACCCATGTTGTTCCACGGAAATCTTTAGTAAAAGGCGAAAGATTTATACGATCTATAGAGAAACAATAGTGGCCATCTACATGGACCCCCAAAAGGCTGCGAACCAACTGTTGAAGCCCTCTGTCCTGTATGGTTCATGACCTAAGTCAGAAATCTCGATCATGTTGGTTCTCTTGTATATTCTGTATTTACTGTTATATGAACACAGTCTACATGAGTTAACTCCATAACAAACAGAGGGAGGAAGAGCACGAGTGTAGGGTTGGTACAGAATGGAGCTAATGTGGTTTAATAGAGGCATAAAATTAAGGAACCAAGATAATTGATAGTAATGAAGCCCACACCGCCAAGAACATCAACACTTGACTGTAGTTTGAAGAATAGCATGTCCCAGTCCGTCTGGGCGGGCTTGTGTTTCTTGTTTTGATTCTAATTTTGTGATAAAGATACGTCTTTTAGTCAAAGTGTCAAGTGTCAAAAGTCCATAGTTGTTCAATGTCTTGGTTTTGTGGTCACTGAGTTTACGTAGATTTTACTGGCGTAACAGAAATATTTGATGAATGGACTTCAAATCTGACTCTTCATCCTTTTTCATCAGTTTCACTCCAGAGAGCAGAGAAGCTCCGTCTACAGTACGTCCTTGTCTTTAATCTTTTACAGTTTTTGAATTTTCTTTCTGCTTCATTGGTGTCAGGGGAGGGTGGGGCGTGGTGGGGCGACAGTGTGTGTTGAGGTGTTTTATGGGCTGGCAGCTGGTGCTAATGTGAAGTAATGCAGGTGACAGGCTCTATTGTCTCCGCCTCTGGCCTCATCTTCCACTTGCTTCCCATAAAAGCCGAGTCATTGAGACGCCTAATGAAGTGGAGAGCCTGGAGCAGTGACAGATAATACCCACTCAGAGAAGGTTTATTTTCTCTGTTTCCAGGTAGGACTACAAAAAAAGGAAAGCATTTTCCTTGTTCAACGCCGTCACTACAATTACCAACTACTGCGCTAAATAAAAAACAATATACTGTACAACTGACAAACACTAGGAGCTCTTGTCTTGAGGTCACAGGGGCTCCTCAGGGCTCTATTGACGAACCTGTCATTTTCTATTTACTAGGGAGATTACATAAATGTGCTCATATCGGCCCGATATTAGCATATTATGTAATATCTGTAAGAATCGTGCTGCAGAATGCTGGTGCCAGCAACTCATACAGTGGTTTGTACAGATAAATAATCCATCCATCCATCCATCCATTTTCATCCGCTTATCCTTTACCGGGTCATGGGGGCGGCAGTCACCACCCAAATCACACTGCACCGCACCGCACCAACCCAAAAAACGAAAAATGACCTCACACATACGACCATTTTTTTTTTCTGATTCATCCTTGTGTTAAATGTGCTAATGGTTAAACACAGACTAATGAACGTTGTGTGTTTTATCATAACGTCTCAGTGACGGAGGTTTTCGGTCCTGAGAGAGCAGTGGAAAAGACAGGAATCAATTTTCTGCGATAAAGTTTATGATTAGACATCTGCGATCAGTCCACTGCATCTGCTTCAGCCTCTGTGTGTGTGTGTGTGTTTGCGTGAGTGTGTGTGAGAATTAAATTGACCTTGCTGGTACAAAAGGCTAACCCTTCTGTCCTGTACGCCTTCTCTTTGCCCATAAATTACCCAGAAAGCACCTGTACCGTGGCAAACCGGCAGCCGTACTTTTCCTTTATCGTCTTGCAGTCCTGATGCTGCAGATGAGGACACGCCCCAGTACTGCTGCCCATCTCACCTAGGATATGACTTTTGGGATTTGCTTCTTCCCTGGTAGAAATGTTCTAAAAAGACCGACTTTCTCTCACTACTTACAAATAAAAACCCTGAATTAACATGTACCCACGTTGGAGGACCAATGGTTAATATGATGGACCTACCCACGTTGGAGGACCAATGGTTAATGTTGGACAGCTGACAACTGCTGACTTAGTAAAAATGAAAATGAAATAAAGTGACCACAGAGTGTGTTTTGTGTTCTTTTCTTCACCTTTCTTCCTCCTCTCCTTGAAGCTCATCGCAGCGATCATCTTCATCAGCATCGGTGTGATCGTCTCCTTTCTCTGTGCTATTGTTGACGGAATCATTGCTTCGGAATACATCGTAAGTTCCTAGCAGACACACACACACACACACACACACAGTTGTCACCTGGACATAAGTGTCACAAAAAGGCCAATTTATCATTTGTTAAACTTCTTTACTTAACTTTTTTATCGACAAACTGTGTTTATCATCTCACACTAATTTTTTGGCTAACTATTATTCTGTCTATTTTTCTGGTCAGTTTGACTTGTACTTTTTATATTTTTAGGCTTATATTTACCTGTAAACTATTACTTTTCATTCCTTAAGCTACTCTGTTGGCTAACATTTAGCTTCAGTTCTGACCTACCGTTCTTTTTAAAGTTCCCTTTAAAAACCCAAAGGTTTGAACTATTTTCACTCTTGTTATGTTCACATCAATCCATTCCCAGGTTGACATTAGCCATTTTGGATAATAAAGTTATTATATAGTTTTATTCTTAAATCACCTGCTTCTATGAATCCATAAAGGCTAGAGAACTCTAATGGTCCTCACGTGAACACCTTGGTTTGTCTCGTCTGCACATTTAAATCCTAATGAGTGTATTAATGAGAGCAGAGAGAACCGGACCTCTCGGTACCTGGCCCGCTCTCTCAGGTCCATCAGCAGCGCTATCTCACTTCTGCAGATTTATTTCATTTGCTCTCTGCCGACAGTAAAGTCTCATTTATTGCACCTTCAAGCTCTGGACTATGAAAATATAATTACACTTCACTCTTCATAAACGCTCCGGAGGTTTTTGGAGTGTGATGGACCTCATGTTGTAATCCTGTCACTGCTGTGGTGACGTAGACACAGGAGGAGGAGGAGGTGGTGGTGAGGAGGAACTTGGTGAAAACAATAGAAATGAAGAAAAAAGCTGGAACATTTGTACAGTAATGTGTTTCTGTAAAGAATGGACAACTTCACAGGTGCTTCGTAACACCGTCGTCTGTTGTATCTGTTAATGACACAGGACATCAGGCCTTTGCAGGAGGACATGTGTGACTTCTACAGCAGTGCTTCTGGATACTTCTACGACAACTACTACACAGAGGTGAAGCCCAGACTTTAAAAAATCTGATTAAATTACATGTAAAACATCTGCATACTCATAATATACGAGTATAATTACAAATAATCATGATTAATCGATATCAATCCACATTCATAAATATAACTCTTTCTGTATATTTATGGAACAGAAGGACAGCTATATATTTTTAAATATACATATATTTTATGTGAAGTTCAAACTCCACAAATAGAAGATATAAATGTATGTAGTGACATCTCCTGGTCAAAGTAACTACTGCAGGTATCAACTACACATGAAATGAATTTAAACGTAGAAGAGTTAAATTTCAGTCCAAGGGTTTGTTTGTATGAAATATTTATTCCCTGACTTGTTTCTTTTGTGGAAGATAAAAATAATCATCTTTAATAATAATAATTCATGGTTCAGAGCTGACAGTCTTGACACTGATTTGCAGGTCACCTGCCGGTCATTCAACAAAGCATGTCAGCTGAAAATGAAAAGCAACACCTGCTACTGCTGTTACCTGTACAACTGTGAGAGGTGAGTGGCTCAGAAGGTCACTAAAGGTCAAAGAGGGATAGGCTAACTCTAAAATCCTTGCTGTATGTACAGTCATAAAAAAAACTGAAAAAAGCTTGAGTTTTTCCTTGGAACATTTAAGCTTTTATTGTAATTTTATTTGTCTATACTTTATCAATACCTTTGTTTTCTCAAATATAATATTTTTGTCTGATTTGACAGTACTGAAGTGATTTGCAATACATATATTTTTATATTTATAACCATAAAAACTTACCTCATGTTCTCTTGCCCTCCTGCAGCACATACGAAGACGCAGCTTACTTTGCGTTCACTGGTGTCAGCAGCTGCTGGGACGTGATCCACCTCTACCGTCTCATGTGGACCTCTGTGGTGCTCAACATCATGGCCTTAATCCTGGGCATCATAACTGCTGCCATCCTGGGCGCCTACAAAGACATAGTGAGCCTAGATATGATATAGATATAAAAGTTTTTTTTTTTCACAGCTTTCATCAACTTTTCCTAATGGTATTTCTGCAGCAGAAGCCGACTGCCCCAGTGGCTCCCAGCCCAGCACCGCCTCCCCACATCCTGTACAACCCCACCCAGCACATGCTCACCTACGCTGGCTTCTGCCCAGGAGGACAGGCTCTGCCTGCCTACCCCAACTATCCAATACCTATGCAGATGCAGGTAAGGACATAAACAATGGCCCTGGTTAAAATCTGGACCTGAGGTCAGGTAAGGTCAGGTGTGAGTCAAAAGAAAAACACACCATGAAACATCAGTTAGGGTTTGAATTAACAAAATACAGTTGTAACAAATATAGGTATACAAAATACCAGTGTTCACTTTGACAGTACATTTTAAATTAGGTCCTAGTCTTTGGAGAAAATTGAAAGTTACACTTGGTCAACATGTACTGTATATTTAGCCAATATAACTGTTTTTAATTTAAGTTTAGTTTTGGCAAATTAATCTAACCTAATAGAAACGTTTCAAAAGACTCACTATGTTGAAAAAATCATAATACTTTTATTTACGAATATTTTTAAACATACTTTTTTAGTATTATCTTACAAATAACATTACTGTATTATATTATTCATTATGATATACGCAGAAGTACACAGTAGTATTTAAATGTTAACAAACGGCCATGGCTAATTCGACTTCATATTTTAGCCAGGTTAGCTCGTACTTAAACGCTTCAGTGTCTTTACCTTTGTCTGAATCTCAGAAAGACGTGTCTGCAGATAAAACCTTAAATTAGTTGTTGTTTTGTTTTTGTTTTTCAAACAGTCGTTCTACGCGGTCTACACTGAGTCTAGTTTTCAAGGTTTTACTTAAATATATTCCATATATTTGTCCCGCTCCTAGCTTCCTCCTCTCTTCTGTTCATTCTTGTACTGGAAAGACGTTCACTATGATTGGATCTCTGTTTAGAGATCCCGCCTTCCAGACAACGAACACAGCTCTGATTGGCTTTTACGCTCTAGTAGTTTTATACTTTTTCTCTTCTCTCACCAGCATAACACCAACTTCCAGCAACTTCCTACGCCCCAGATGATGACCGACACGGGCCTTTCCTCCACCACGGGCTTTTCTTCCACCACCTGTCCGTCCGAGGAGAACCAGCATGCCCCCCAGCCACAGCCACAGGAAGGCACCCAGGAAACAGGTGGCTTCACGCTGACTCCCAACGCTCCAGTCTTCTACGGACCCTCCTTCGGTGGCTTTGAGAAACCTCCTCCCTACGCCTGCTGAGAACCAGGGGTGGAAACATCACGACTACTGGCATATGTTGATGGTGTATGACGTATGAAAACACTTAACCTGCGGTTTAAAGGGCTTTCTCCAGATGATGGAGTTGATGACGTTGAAGGTGTCGCTGTTGTCTGTGTTTGTGTGAATCGTGTGTAATGTGCACTTTAAACTCGTCGTTCGTTTTATTTATAAGCTGTAATGCATGTGAACTGTTGATGGACCGGAACAGCTGCTGATTGGAGCAGAGTGTAGTGAAGTGGCACCAATGGGAAAGTAATGGTGTGTAAACATGTTAAAGATTTTAAAGAAAAATGACTATTTAACTCCCAAAAGTTAGATGACAACATCGACAGCATTGTCATATTTTAAAATAAAACATTTCTCGAGAATTAATAAAAAAGAATAATAATTGGGTCAAATAAACATAGCAATTAAACACGTGACCAAGATTAAATGTCAAAAACTTTCGAAGCTATTGCAGACGATGTTTGTATGACCTGCAGAACAATTAAATATTTTTCCACCAGGGGCAGTGGATGGCTATTAACCTTTAAGAAAAGAGAGACTAAGGGCTGCTAAGATCTTTGTGTGTCTTTTTTCAATTCCTGTTAGTATATTAGCATTGTGTTCAACTAAACAGGTCCTGGTTTCACACTGAGTAAGTAAGCAATTTTTGTACTTTTTGTTGACAGGGTGCCTCTACAAATATGTTAGGCACTATTGAGGGTTAAGAAAGTCAAGTTGTGTGGAGGTCAAAGGATTTTGACCATTTGAGATCCACTGCTGTGAAATATCTGGACCGCCACAGTTGGCTCTGTTTCAGCCGTGTTTCTGTCAATCTTGTCATCTCTCTACAAAGTGTTTATTTTGAAGTGTGTTTAGTGTAATATAATAGCTACATGTGTGTAGATTATTTTCAAATAAATAGTAATTCAGTCGTCATGGACTTTAAGATTAATACGTAAAAAGAACAGTTTTACAAAATGCTTATAACAGAAAATTCAGAAGAATTTGAAAATTCAGACAACACAAATAACTTGTTGATGGAATCATCTTTTCTAAAATGCAAACTTTACGATCTGCATTTTTACCAGAATAGGTCAGTAATTCTTACCAACTGTACCTTTACGTTGTAAAAATCCTGTAGTCATTGATGTAACTACTCCAGCGAGTAGTATGTGAACAATACTAAAGGTACAGTGTTGTTTAACTCTGAACAGTACATATTTTTAAATGATTTTAAAGATGACAATAATAAAAATAAACATTAATAAACACAGTACATTCCATGATTATGTCTGTCTTGGTCTGGTGCATGGTCTGAATCGTGGGCCCTGACCCATTTAGAGCCATAAGAAAGAGTTAAGGTGGTACACAATTTATTCTTCCACTAATATGTCGCTCCCTTGATGGACCCTTGATTATTCCCCTGGTCACTAGAGGGAGCCAGAATACCACCAGTGGTACTCTGGCACAGTGGGTCAGGAGGTGCCACCTGAGGTAAAACTACTTCAGTGCAAAATTACACACTGTATCCGTTTTTTGTTTTACTTTTCTTAAGAAATTTGCAGTTCCCAAATTGAGGGGCGTGGAGCCATTGCAGGCAGTGCAGCAAGGCAAATCAATATTTTCATCTCTGTCACTGCAATTTATAATTTTAATTTCCTTTGTTCAATGACTATATACATTTTGCAGTTTTAAACGTCATATGAAGGGCTAGACAATAATCCTACCAACAAAAGGTGGCGCTGTTGAATAAGTTGGGGAACCATAACGTGTCTTCACCAGCAGAGATGTTCAGAGAAGTCAAACAGTAAGAGATGAACTTCAGGAAAATAAAGACAACAGACAGAGAAGAGGACAGGACAGGTTTTGGCGTTCTTTTTTTTTTAAACACAACCACAGTGAGATACAAATTCACCTGATGGCGTTTAACTGCTTTTATTTATGTTCTTAAATAAGATTTCACCGGGAGACAAAGTCCTGATCCAGAAGACGGACTTCTCTCTCACCGTTGAACACATACTAGCAGTTGATGTGAAAAAAGAAGAGAATGGAAGAAAAGGTCAATATACAACACATGGATAAAAAAAAAACATGAAATAACAAGCTCTATATTCTGTCACCCATTCATCTAAAAACTATTAATGTAACATTATAGAGTAAAAGTAAAGTAACACTGAGCTCCTGTGGCATTTCTCCATCAAACAGAACATTTGAATTGTTGCTGCGGCTCCATATTGTCGTCTTACTAGTATTTAAAAAAAAGGTGGATTCATCACTTTCATCACTTAGAATGATTGACTAAGATGTGCAGAAAACCTCAGTGAACATAAGGTAGTGTTGTTCTCTCTTTTACAAAGCAGTGTAGTCACATTATTTACATAGTTCAGTATTTTACAGCGCACTCGTGTTTTTTTTTAACTCTCAGTAGCATGTGTGGTGCGATTGATGCAGTGCTTTATTTTTTTTCTCTGTTTTTTTTAATGGAGCAGGTTCCTCCCTGTCTCCCTGTGCTTCAAGACTCAAGTCCCAGTTCATAGTCTGCAGCCCAAGTCGACCGTAGCCTAGAAGTCCTACACGGAGGACGTGGGCTGTTGAAATGGCATTTATATAAGGTGGAGCAGTGGTTCTCAAGCTGTGGCACGCATAGCACTTCTGTTACTTTGGGCTCCCTCTAGTGGTACAAAGCTTAATCTTTTAAAGTTCGTCGATAGCCATGGTACATATTTTTTCATTCGAAAAAAAAACCCACGGTACACCATCAAACAAAAATCTCAAGTATACATAATGAAATATAACAATCTTTAAGCTTAAATATACTCACAATTTACTAACTGTAAATGTGTAAATTCTCAGCCTGTTTGGTTGACGACGATGTTGATATACTTGCAGAAATTGAAGAAAGACACACAACAAAGATCTTCTTCAATGGCTCTGATTCTCTTTTGACACACAACAAAGATCTTCTTCAATGGCTCTGACTCTCTTTTTTGAGTTTTCATAGCCAACTGCTGCCATCTAGTGGAAGAGTATTTCTGCCTGGCACACACACTTGCCAAACAGAGAGAAAATATTTGCAATAAATAAATATTAGTTTTCAGACCAATTAAGTGAATTTGAATAATTTTCCGCATCACAGCTAATCATCTCTTACGACACAGTGGTTGGATGTTACTGGACTAGAAAACACTGTTTGTCGCCTAGTTGTCATTTGCAGCTGAAGACTGAAGCAAATATGGGAAAATTTAAATTGTTGTGCTGTGAAATGTTTACTTCTGGTCGACTCATGTAGCCGACGTGGGCTGCAGACTGTGGACTGGGAAGCGGAGAGGAAGTAGTTTTTAGTTCTTAAGACTGTTCTTGTCTGGTTTTGACTGTAGTTTGAGCAGGTGTTTGTGGGGGAGTGGGTCACATCTTTAACAGATTAATAAACTCCCATATGCATAGTGTGAGTGAGTTCCTGTTCTGACGTCTGTGGAGTAGTTTGGGTTGGTTTGGTTGTTTTGAACAGGCACATTGTTTATAAAAGAAAAGCCAGGCAGTCGTGGAGAGCAGGTGCTCACTGTGGTTCCCGTCTACCTTCAAACACCTGCAAGGATTTTTCCAGAACTCTGAGCTTTGCCTCGTACCCGACCTCCATGTTGAGGCTTCATTTAAATCTCCACACATAAACAAACAGAGCTCTGCTGTGTTTTGAATATACCGTCTTAGTGGTTTTTAAGGCTTTTATTTTGGCGCCCAGTTATTATTAGAATTGATTTTTGTTTTGTTTTTTTTTACAATTTGACCTATTTAAGTTTTGATGCGAGTCAAATATGGGCTACATGTCCTCAGCTCAGGAGTCACTTTGCTCCACTTCAGCCTGGATCTAAACCACAGCACAGGACGCCAGGACCAGGACCAGGACCAGGCCTCTGACATGTGTGTTCTGGTGGGTTTGATAAGGCTGCGATACAGGGGCAGTTTTCTGAGGCAACGTTGTGCAGCAGTTATTGCCATTTCATCTGCCTAGTAGATGGGACGCCACCCACTTGCTAGCAAACTAACCTACGACCGATGGTGTACGATACTGTGAAAGGTCACCTCTAGGCAGCAGTGTGGTCACAGTAAAAGGACAGAGTGATCCTGGGTTAACGGCTACACCTGCATCACAAAAACGCGCTCTGGTTGGTTTAGGTTCTTAACACTGGTCAGATCTTTTTATAAATACTGTTCGATTCTCGCCTCAATCAACCACTCACGAATCAGTTTTTGGCAGCGTGATACTGCGGTCACTGGTAAGAGTCCAGCAGGGGGCAGGAGTGGGAGTGGATGTTGTTGTGTTTGTGGAGGGCCTGGTCCAAGTCCAGAGGCTGTCCGTTCACGCTGACCTTCATACAGCCACTGTAGGGCGCCGACACCGGCATGGACACCAGAGGAACTTCATCTGAGGACGAAGGAACAAAACATGAAGAGGATGTGAGAAAACAGCACCACCCACTGGTGTAGAGTGGTAATGGCTTCATCTATTTCCATTGTTTTTTAAAACACCATTATTCTTGTCAAGGCTACAGCAACAGTAATGGCAAACTGTTACCCCTAGCAACAAGCAACAATTGCCTAGTCTGATGGTGTCATTAGCCCAACGTGAGACCAGGACTTGTGGTGGTACCTGGCAGGCCTCCGATGAAGGTGCTGGACTGGTAGAGCAGGTCTGTGGGAACTTCGTTGTCTTCACTTCTTCCAGGTTGGCCGTCCACCAGTACCTGGGTCTGGTTCCCTGATATTGTCACCACGATTTCATGACTCTCACCGTCACACACAGGAGCAACAGCGCTGGCCAGAGTGACGTCACCGGAAGACACTAGAACAAACTGAAGAGACAAAACATTAAAAAAAATAATAAAGTGAAGGTCCAGTTGAACATCAGGGAGATGAAGAAGAAGAACTCACATCTCCCCATTCGTCCAGGTCAGGATGGTAGTCGGACAGAGCGACCGAAAGAGGAACTTTGTCCTGGTAAACCAGTGCAAACAGGACTCCGATTGCAGAGAGGGGGCGCAGGCTCAGATGGATGCTCAGGTTCTGTGGTTCTATAGATGAAAAGGATGAAAAAGTTCAATCAGAAAATGGCTTATAAAACGGGGGAATGTATAGATGAAAAGGATGAAAAAGTTCAAGCAGAAAATCAGAATCTTCTATCAGAAAATGGCTTATAAAACAGGGGAAGGTGTCAGCACACAGAAATTAAAAAAAACTCTCAAAGTTTCTAAGTATGTCATCTGTATGCAAAAAATAATAACGAGTTATGAGTGCAACCTAAATAAAACGCACATTTCCTGTAGTGGTAGTTCAAGGGCTTTGGGGGGGGGGCCCTCTAGGAGGAGCAGAGCAACTGCAGTGGTAACGCAGCAACATTGATTTGTACTATTTGTATTTTTTTCGTTCATTAAGAATATTTAATTATTTAACCTACATCTGCTCCCCCAGCTGGTGAAGTTATTTCCTCACATCCTCCAGGCTCAGATGTCCTTCTTTAAGGTTGTCATTTCTGCAGGCTGTGCAGTAAAATCTCAGGCTGCAGTACCAGCCACCAACCACCAGGCCTTCCCACACACCTTACCTTGGGTGATGTTGAAAAGAGCGAAGCCTGTGCCAGGGTAAAACGCTCCAGGATCCTCTGTGCTGAAACACTGCATGTTCTGGTTGGACTGAATGGTTTCCTGTATTGAAGTGTCTTCACCCGTCAGCCAGCGCCACTCCCTCATACAGCCGTCCAGACGGGGGTTGACCTACAGGGGGCGGTAATGGAAGAATTTACCTTTAATCATCATCATCATCACATTTAAACAGACCCCTGATCTATCAGACTGAAGCAGGTCTGACAAAAATGACAAAACAAACACCTGGTTGACCAGGCCGTCCTCCCTGAAAGGCACTCCCCCTACAGTCAGGTTGAGTTCATGCATGCCTTTCTTCAGCGTGAACAGATCACCATTGACTGCGATCTTCATGACGGCCTCCCTGTCGATCTTAATCACGAGGCTGCGACCCTGCTCCTCCACAGAGATCTGACAACAACAACAACAATAAACCATTGAAAACACATGAAACAGCAGATGGCGCTGTTGTAGGCCTTCAGCTAAAGCAGTCAAACCTTTCTCCACTGGCCATCGTTGACCAGCGGCCCGCTGCTGGTGACCCTGCTGACTGTGCCATACTTTATCTGCAGCTCCAGTTTCCCATGATGCATTGCCAGGACAATCCACGAGCTGTTCAGGTGACCTCCAGCAAAGAAAATCACCCCCTCAGGGTCATAGGTGCGGAAGTCAAATTCTGCTGAAAAGCTGGAGGAAAAAAAAAAGTGTCGGATGAAAAACTCCATCTCATATTCCCGCGGTGATATTTATAATCTGTCAAACATTAACAACACTTTTTATAGAAATTATTTTATGGGACTATTTATGGTAAAGTTTTCTGTTCAGTTCTGCTAAGGTCTGTATTCTGTTCTGACAACAAGCACATATATATACACACATAAAAATATATTTATATTAATGTTTTATAATTATGTTTTGTGTTTTATAATTATGCTGCATATATTGATATCAGTTGATATCGGAATCGGTAGTTAAATGTTTGGACACACATATATATATTCAAATATATATATATATGCACACTCACTGACACAGGTCAATTATTCATAACAACTGAGTTAAAGAGAACATCAAGTAAGAACTCTTTGCTCACCCGGTCTGGATCCTCCGACGGAAACGCAGCCTCACCACCGGGACGCCACTGAACATGCGGCCCAGGTAAAGAGAACGAGAGTTCCTCCTCAGAGGTGGAGACAAACGTGGAGTGATGGACTGGAAGAAGAAAGGATGACATCCACAACATGAACCTATACAATATTCTACTGTGTATTACCTGGATTATGTACATATATTGAAAATAAACATATTCATTATAAATCTATATCTCACCTCACAACTCCTGAGATCCTGGCTCAGCTTCAGTCCCTGTCGACCATCACAGAAACAACGGAAACTCCCCGGGGTGTTCAAACACTCCTCTGCACACACACCCGTCACACACTCGTCCACATCTGAGGAGCAATGGAGCAGGAGGATCAAAGGACAGACAGAGATGGAGGAGACAGGGGGACAGGAGGACAGGGGTACGAGGAGTGACAGCTGTCCACATAAACAACGTCACGCCTGTTGTTTGAAAAAAACTTTATGTGCGTCGCTGTGCACCCTGAAATAGTTCCGTCCCTGGACAGGGAGCCTGCCCCATACTTTGGGAATCATTGCTGTAAGGCATCGGCTTGTGGTGCCCCCGTTCAGATATGATGCTGAGAAGATCTGAGCTGAACAGAAACATTTCTGTCCAATGGTGGAATGCAAACAGAGCGTGAGACGAGTGGCGTTTGACCAAACTGGACTGGACTGGATCTCAGGGCCGTAGATGACCTTACATGGACATGAGGACCATTACTGATATGACTCTCTGAGCAGAGCCACCGAGGTTATGTAAAGTCTGGTTTCCATAGCAACCCAGGTCACAAATGTTATTAAATTCCTAAGTATTTTTCCAACGTTATTGCCAACAAACATATAAGAGTTATTTATATCCAAAACACCCGTTTTATTATTATTATTATTATTATTATTAGGGATGTCCGGGATCTTTAATTTTTTGGCTTATATCCGATATGCCAATATTGTCCAAACAATTTCCAATTCCAATATCAACCGATACTGTTATAGACCTGTTAATATTTATTTATATGTCTGTTATCTGTTAAGAGATTAATCAAATGAGCTTCAATGCTGCCATCTAGTGACTTTCACTTTCATATACAGCTATTTTTCCCCAAAACTATTTTTAGGGCAAACATAGTTTGGCCAAACCCAGGCATTGCATCTATTTTTTTTCATTATCGGAGGAAAAACAATAACGATTCTTACAGATATTACGCAACATGCTAATATCGGCCAGATATTACCGGACATCCCTAATTATTATTATTATTAACAACGTCCCATAGAAAGGTTGATACACAGAGAGTTATGGAGGGAAGCAGAATAGAAATATGGAAATAAATGAAAATGTAGTTTATATTTAAATTTTTTTTAGCTTTTTTTTTTGTTGTATTCAAACTCCAAACCTTCTCCGTGGCAGGTTAAGAATTTTACCATTCTAGACTTTAGACTCATCTTTACCCCGTGTCCCTCCACCGCGCCCCTAGTAAAGAAACCTTTATTTCTGTGTAGCTATGTTATTATCAGTCCGATCTTCTTTGAGTTTGTGCAGATGTGTTTGTGCTCGAGGACATGGATCAAAGTCAAGAGCCGTGTCAAGAAAAAAAACTATTTGTGACTTTTTGGAAACTATCATCTTAGGTGTGCAGTAAATAAAAAACCCATGGGTGGTCTACTGAACATTAAGGTTACACACCAAGAGTGTCATTAACACTGGTGTTACCGTCAGTTCTGTGATGTCTGCCTTTGAACATCAGACATTAAAGGGTCAAAATTACACGACTGGAGTTTAATTAAGGGGTGAACGTGATTTGATCTGTACATTTGGCTCCAGTTTACACCAACGTCTAGATGAATGGTTGAATGAATGGGTGGAAGTAAACTAACCTTAAACTAAAAATGAATTTGAAGTGTTGCACAAACCAAGGAGTGTCTTCAAAAAGACAGACTTGTTAAGAAAAGACTGGACAACAGTGGACGGTGACCTTTAACCTACTTATTCACATTCACGTATCATAACTATACGTTATATGTTCCTTGGCTGAACCCGCTGCACGGCCGCACCCACTCCCACTGTGAGACAAGCTGCTCCTTTTTAAATGAAATGTAAAAGTACATATGTTGACCCCGTGTACTCACCCACACAGGTCTTGGTGTCGTTGTCGTACTGATAGCCAATGTCGCACAGGCAGTTGTAGCTGCCGTTTGTATTCTCACACAGAGCTGTTCCGCACACGACCGGGTCGACGCACTCGTCCACGTCTGAGAAGACACGAAACATGGTCAGCTGGTCGGGACATGTGGGTCACATCGATACAAGTCAAGTTATGTCAATAAAACTCTAACTGGTACAAGTCACATCAAGTCAAAACAAGTCCATACAAAAAAAGCCAAGTCACATTAAGGTGGGATCAAGTCAAGTTAAGCCAATACAAGTCAAATTGGTACGAGTCAAGTCCAAAATACAAGTTTAGTTACGTCAAATCAGTACAAGTCACCTTAAGTCAAGTCACATCAGGTCTAGTCTGAAACACAAGTCATATTTTATCAACACAAGTTAATAAAGGAAAAATCAAGTTGTGTGAAGAAAAAAAAAAACTACAAATATGAATTAAATCTCTTTTTGCACTGCTGTAACATTAGGAAATGATCAGTGCAGTACAAAGTACTGTCAAAGTACTGCTTGAACAGCATCAGGTCAGGGATACTGTAGAGTGTGTCCGTACTGCTTGAACAGCATTAGGTCAGGGGGACACACTCTACAGTATCTACAGTTTGTATAGTGTCTGGAGGACAGATTTTGTTCATGCATGTTCAGGAATGCTTCCTTTAAACAACCTCCAAATTTGGTTTGTTTAATCAGATCAGCGGATGGATTCAGGAATGTTTGGTTCACATCACATCTGCAGGTATCACCGCTCATCTGTGATTGGATCAGCAATAATAGATGTTAAAACCAGGGCTGAGCAGCTTTCCAATTCGTGGTAATTAGCCAAACAAAACAAAACAAAAACTCAGATTCATTCATTATTTTTGCAAAAACAAGTAGATCCTAGAGGTTTTTTTTAAATATGAATATAGTTCACGAGACTGAGCTGTAAACTTTCGTACCATTACACATTTGACGTCCCACCAGCATGTAGCCCGGGTGACAGGAGCAGCGGAAACTGCCCATGGTGTTGTTGCACTGGTGCTCACAGCCTCCGTTTCTCTTGCTGCACTCGTCGACATCTGTAAGTGGGAAGGAAGGAAGGGAAATCCACGTGAATGCAGGAAAATCCTCATCATAGTCTGGATGCAGCATTAGGTCGTCGCCTTGGGTTAAGCTTTTCCACAGAGATTTGGGATCAGAGTGAATTAAAAATGAAATTGAAGAAAAAAAAATAATTTACTTGAATTACCCAAAAAATGATGTATTCTGAAAGACACTTTCTTTCTTTTTTTTTTTACTCTGGCAAACAAACCGACGCTTCCAAACAGCTGCAGCCCAGTGTTGAGGAGTGTGGTCATCACATGGAAAATGTTCAGAGTCTCAGTGAAACAGCACTGCACACACAGAGGTGGCAGGATGAGTCAGAGTGGAAATGTGTGCAGTGGCTGGACTGTCATATGATGTTTTTCAGTCTTGTTACTTAATATTATGTTAAACGCTTCTTCATCAAATGCCACAGTGTTCACCTTCAACACACTTCACACGTCAGTACAGTGTGAGCTGCTGACAAATCAACATAAGGACATGTTGGGTTGAGCTGTGGCTTCCGTGACCTCTGTGACCCCTCTTCCCGTACACGCGGTTTATATCGACTTGTTGAATGCACTCATACACACGTCTGTAGGGTGTGGCAAATAAAACCTGGAAACACTACAAACTGAGGTCAATGAGGTCAAATCAGTTCCAGTGTAACTACATCAGGCCTGTGACAATAACAAGTTTTGAGCGAACCCTCTTGACATCCAGACACTTTACCAGGGCCGGCAAAACGATCAAGTTCATTTTTATTTATTGATGTGATTAATCGATTTATCGATCATCATCCCAGGCATAAACTTCATATCAACAACGGATAAAGTATGAAATGATTTGATTGTGAGACAAATACGTCCTGATCTGTCTCCCTCAGAGCAGAGAGGAGGATGTTTGTCAGTGGGACCAAGGTCACAGTGACGACTTCCCTGCAGAGTGACGCTGTGAATGACGGTGCAAAAATCCAACCTGCGTTGAGCTCCGACGTAAAACTGTACCTTTCTCACACCTGGCTCCCGTCCAGCCTGTGAAACAGTGACACAGGAAGTCGCCTTTTTTGTCTTCGCAGCGCACCGTGCCTCTGTCATTACAGGGAGAAGGAGAACACTGGTCTGGAATGTCTGGAATATCAAGAGAAAACACAGGAGATACGTAAGTGTAAGGAAGAGGACAGAAGTCCCTGAAGGTAACTGTAAAATGACACCACACAGAAGAAGGGCATCTGGAACATTCTGGATACGAGTGGCCGAGGCCTTATAAATAGTCCCGTGCTGGCTGAGCTCTCCTGACAGACATGTCCTCACTGAGTCCTTGCCAAGGTTCCTGATAGTTTCAGGTCTCAAAAACCTCCCGGTCACTCATTCTGTCGGGTCAGTGCTTTGGTGTAAACGTGTGGACTCTCTCTTCTGTGTTAAATATTTACACTCCCTGCCTGTGTGAGTGAGCACATGTAAATATTTTCTCTCACTGTGCTGCTTCTGTTTCCCAGCAGAAAAGTTGGAGTTCTTAACAAGTCTGGGCATGCTCTCTGGAGCTCTGACAGACAGGGAAGGACAGAGCCTGGAGAAAGTGGAGGGAGGCGGCAGAAAGATGAGCCCACGTGGGAAAAACATGTTTTCTTTTTCACCAGAGACTAATACTACTAAGAAATGCATCTGGGCAAGTTGTGATAGTACTTTGTTATTGTAATAACATTGACTAACTATTACACTTTGAACATCACGGATGTCAATAAAAGTACTTGGGGTGGGGCTAAGACTGCTGCCGTTCTCACATGAACCGGAGCAAAACAAATCCTTGAGTTTCTCAACATATTTTTTTGTTAAAAACTGTGGAACTTTTGACCTACTTAGAGGCCACACAACCCTTAAAAAGCAATCAGAACAATACATTTAAGAAAATGTAGATGACATATGTTTAAGACA